CAGCTTTTTAAAATTGTTTATGTATTAATCCTGGACCATGGTTGGGTTGGAAGTTAGCAAAACCATGTTCAAGACCCTAATGCTGCCATGAGGTGGTTTGAGCTCTCATCCTTCGCTCCAGCTGCTGGGGACACGAAAGAACTTCCCCAATTGGGCATCCTCCAGGCAATGATGATGTTATTGGTGGTTAATCCTTTCAACCCAGAAGCGCCTCAGTGCTTCTGACACGAATGCAATGTGATCCATTAATCCTAAAAAGGAAAAATCCTGGCTTCAATTGAATATTGATCGTTAAAATCATCTGTATCAAAGTATGTGTTTCAATCAAACATATTTTAGTTTCTTACATGTCCACCAAGCATGATAAAATGTCCCTTCACATGTCCTTCCAAACATTGGCATAAAATTAGCCATCTTTCTAGACACTGGATAGAAAGGGGCTATACGCCAAATTAATAAAGTAAGGAAATAAATGCATTGAGAAAGCAAAAATGGTCAGCTTTAAAAATTTGTTTATTTTGCAGGTGAGAGATTCAATGTACTCCTTACTTACCTAAGCTGTAGAAAATCCCATTACCTATAATATAGTTTTAAGAATGTACACTCAATTTTCTTTTTAATAAGTAATCATTGATCTGCTTTACAGAATGTTTTTAAACCAGAGTTTACATTTCATCCCTGCTGCCAAACATCCAAGACTATTTGATATTATAATTTCATGTCCAGTACTGTGATTAGAAAAGCTTCACATGTGATATTTGTTCAAAACAAGCCAAAGTTTATGCAATTTTAAGAATCAAAGGGGGGAAAAATCCTCTCACAACTAGAATTATATATGTGCAGGATTAGCACAGCATTAGAAACTCCTTGGAGACTTCAGCAATAGAGTGGTCAATGTCTGGAATACTCTACCCGACTCTGTAGTTTCCTCCCCAAACCCCAAAAACTTTAACCTTAGACTGTCTACTATTGACCTCACCCCTTTCCTAAGAGGTCTGTAGGGGGCGTGCATAAGCGCACCAACGTGCCTACCGTCCCTGTCCTATTGTTTCTCCTATTCTTTTATTTTTCTTATATGTAACCATTTCATGTATTCACAACTATGTATACATTTATACTTATTATCTTGTAAACAATTGGCAAATCAAATAAATAAATAAATAAATAAATAAACTTTTGATTACTCTTGTTTCTTTAGATCTGACTCAGGAAATTGAGTTATTTGTATTATTCTTTTATGTGAATGAAAAGAAGAGTTGTTAAAGCACAGCCCATGAGAACAAGTCCTTCCCTTCCCAAGGTCAAGTGAGTTTTAACAGTACTATACAGGTAGTCCTCAACTTATGATCACAATTGAGCCCAAAATTTATCTTGTGAAGTGAGACATTTGATAAGTGAGTTTTGCCCCATTTTGTGACCTTTCTTGCCATGGTTAAGTGAATCACTGCAGTTGATAATTTAGTAACCCTGTTGTTAAATGAATCTGGCTTCCTCATTGACTTTGCTTGTTAGAGGGTCACAAAAGTTGATCACATGACCTTGGGATACAGTAAAAGTCATAAATATGAACCATCTGCCAAGCACTTGAATTTTGACCACATGGTCATAGGAATGCTGCAAAGGTCATAACTGTGAAAAACACTCATAAGTCACATTTGTCAGTGCTGTTGTAACTTTGAATGGCCACTGAACACTGTTGTAAGTCAAGGACCACCTGTAGTTAGCAAAATTTTGAGGTGGATTGTGTTGAAAGAGAGTGACTGGCCCAAAATCACCCAGCCCATTATTCATGACTAAGGCAGGACTAGAACTCACAAGTTCCTAGTTTCTAGGTCAGCACCTTATCCACTATACCAAACTGGCTCTCATGGTTGTTGAATTGAACTGAAAAATGGGATCAATTTTAAATCAATTTGAATGTCTTGAATGCATTTGTGATGGATAATTGACCATCGAAGAATTGAGGCAGTCTGAATCTCCATTTTGATTCAGACAAATATCTTATGTGCATGTACGGATAGGAGGTGGTTGCCACCAATGACCTAGCTTTCAAAGTAGTGGGCATGTTTGGCCATCAAAGCCCCATTCCCTTTTCTTTTCCTTATATTTTATGCCAAAAGGTGAGGCTTTCTTTGCCCTGTTGTGCCCACTTTGGAGCCAGTGACCATAACTGTACTGAAATCCTTTTCATTGTCTGAATCAGATAATTTTAGCAGACTAGACAAATCAAGCAGCCAAAGCTTTCGCTAATTTGACACAAATATTTGCAGAACTAATAGCATGTGTATGACATTATGACTTGTTCGATAAGCTGACTGTTGTGTGTGATGCCTTAATGAGCAAATGGGCAATTTGGTTGCTCATAAATTATCTGATCTTTTTTCTTCTTTGACTAATTCAATTTCATTGTGGTTGTTGGCTTCTAAAGTGTGACTTTGAAAATTTGCTGATTCTTTTTTAGTTGGGGTTTGGCAGGCAAAACCATTGCATGAAATAACCCAACCCAAATTAGTAAGCAATGCTTAAAATAATATTTTAGCCATGTTTAGCTGTAAATAGTTTGCAAATACACCAGGTGCACCACAAAGATTGTTAGGGTCTTAACAAAGACAAAACTGAACCAACTTGCCTTCAAGAATTACTATATCTCATGAAACTTCTGTAATGTGGCAGGACTTGTTCATACTATGAGAATTATATTAAATTACTGTTTATTTTCTTAAGAAACTGCAAGAATATACTTGAAGGATTGAAAAAGCTGAAAAGTTACTCTTGAAATGTTGACAGAACAGTTATGAAAATGGGAGCCAGTTTGGTGTGATGGTGAAGATTAGAAACCAGGAACTATGTATGAGTTCTAGTCTTGACTTTAGGCCTGAAAGCTAACAGGTTAACTTTGGGCCAATTATTCTCTTTCAGCCCAACCCACTACACAGAGTTGTTGTTGTAGGGAAAATGGGAGGAGGAAGGAGTATTAGATATGTCTGTCACTTTGAGTTAGATATAAAGTAATAAAGATGAGATAAAATTTTAATTAAATAAGTAGTTAAAATAAAATCCAATAGAATGCCCAGCCTCCCTTACTTGTCAATTTAGGTTTGCCAATGCTAGCTGAAACCAATCTTGGAGATTTTTCCTTTCCATTAAATGTTTGCATTGACTTAATAACTGCTAATTAAAATTAATTGCCTGCAAAGTAAAGCTTTCCACATACAAACGCTAATTGATGCCTCTCTGAATATACCAATCTCACATATAAATCCATACAAATTCATGCAACCTCCCCCCATGCATCTGCACACAGATTTATTGTGCTCCTTTTTTCCCCCTACCAGAATCATTAAAAAAGAAGATCTGTATGATTCTGGATCTACTGCTGCATATTAGAACTGCATATGTTATTCTTGGCTACATCCACACTAATTTTAATGTATTAAGACACCATTGTGGATTTGGAGGAACATAGAGATTGGCTAGAGCTGCAGATGTGTGCTATAAAAATTCAGGCAAAGAATGTCAGAAATGGTGTATAGAAAATTATACTCCTCTCAGATCATTCTCTGTTCTGTTACCAACGTATGGGTTGACTAAAAAAAATAATCAACACCAGAACATTTGTAGCAATGGGGTATTGGTATCTCTAATTTGTCAATATCTTTTTTCAAACTAGGAACAAGGAAGAAGACTTTCAAACCAAATGGTCACTGTTTTGTTCTGTTAATATTTTACTTGCCTCACAATGTTATATTTATCAATTTTGAACACATGTTGATCATTTAATATTGATCTGTGTAGTTATACTTTTATTGATAAGTTTAGCAAAAGAAAGATTAAGAAGATGGGACACAGAGAAGATAAGATGATCGGGCAGTTGCACCGAGAAGGGATGAGAAAAAAAATTGGATATGGAGTGAATAGAAATTCTAATAATAAATAAACATTGAAGGCCTTTTCTGCTGCAATACCCTTAGAAACTCTAATTTGGAACATCTCAGCACTTAAAGCAATTGAGTGAAGCTGAGTGTTAAATGTCCAGTGAGTCTAAAGTACATTTCTTGGCCTTTAGCACTTCTTCATTCTTTTAGGTGCTTACGTCAGGATGTGTGCTTTCCCTGATGTGAAACTCTTTAGAGCTTTTGATCCAGGAAGTGCTTTATCTTAGAATAATCTTCAGCCATTTCATAGTCCAGTACAAATGGCAAATCTTATTTTCTTTGTTTTCTAGGAGTGATTAAAAAAAGAATAAGATCAGCTCTGAGAAAGAGTCCCGTTTCTTATAATTTTGCATTTTGCTCATAATCTGTTAGCATATTTATAATCCCCAGACCAGGAACTGTAGCCCAACTGCTTGGAACTAGATTTAGAGAATGGCTGTTGTAATAAAGCTTAACTGAAAAGTCCCATTCATTTGCTTATCTCTAGAAATTGTTATTTGCTTATTGTCATCTGCTTATATCTATGCTCTGAACATCTGCGTTGCTATGTATTGTTTTCTTTTTGTATTTTTTCAATGCATGGAAAGGCAAAATTTTGCTTGCTTATTGTATGCTTCTTTATTATAATAGATGAGCTCTTAGTACTTATGACGAACTATACATTGTGTATGTTTTTCTCCCAAATAAACAGGATTTAAAGATCGGGGTTGTTATTGTTGAGACAAGTTTATTTAAAGCAGATTAAAATGAATATTACCTTTCTAAAAGTGAACATGTATCTTCTAGCCTGGGCCCAGAATATTATTGACCTGGATCTGATATATGTTCTGAGGGTTCCTGATGCTCTCTGAGCTTGGTTGTTTTCTTGAAGACATTTCATTACCCAAACTAGGTAACACCATCAGTGTTGTTGGTGAGCACCAAGGACTCCTCATTTCAACCCTGAGCTAAAAAACAAATATTCTTCTTTATTGATTTGACGTATGTTCTGCATTTTTAGTCATTTATTAAGCATGGCCTCAATAGATGAATAACTTCCTGCTGCTCTTTTTATTGAAATCACAGCTTTGTTTGAACTTTTCATGGAATCCAGCCCAGGTTGTAACAGGACATTGAAGAAACAGAGCTAAAGAGGACATTCTGAAACCAGAAGTAAGTTTACTGAAAGACAAAAGCACTAAGAAAATATTCCTTTGGATAATGTGCTATCTTATATTGCAGCTATCACTTTTGCTACCATATGTGGGCTGCAAAAAATCCAGACAAGCCAGCAGCAAAGAATGCTTTCTGTATCACATTCTAGCTCAGATGTGATAGCTGCATTTGAACCACTGTCCATGTACTTTATACTTTACATAATATTAACAACAATAATATATTAAATTTACATGCTATCCTACTCCTGGTGACTCAATTAAGTATGGTTACTTCAACAACTCTATTTTGGCTTAATTCAGGGAATGGATCTAGCCAGCTTGTTACCTGTAAATCCCATGAGTAGAACTGAAAATAACCGGTTTGTTAGAAGAGCAGAAATTATAAAACTAGCCAGTGTTCCATCTTTTATTCACGTGGGCTATAAGTAGTCCTTGGTTTAGACGATAGTTTTACCAGAATTTCCATCGCTAAGCAATGGTGGTTAAACAAGTATCCAATTTTACGACCTGTTTTTCTTTTGGTTGTTAAGCAAATCACTGCTCTTGTAAGCAAATCTAGCTTCCCCCTTTGACTATTTGTTGGGAAGTGGCTGGGAAAGTTGCAAATGGTGATCACGTGATTCTGGGACACTGCAGTCATGGTAAAAACATGGTGGTTACCAAGTGCTCAGATGTGAATCATATACCTGTGGGGAGGTTGTGATGTAAGTGCAAGGACCAGTTGTAACTCACTTCTTTCAGTCCTTTTGTAACTTTGAATGATTGCTTAAACAAATGGTTGTAAGTCGAGAACTACCTGTAATATACCAATGGTAATCTAGCAAAGAGTAATGAATGAATTAAAAAATAGGACCCATAAGTTATCTCATGTTTGTTACTTTTCTAAAGGGATCCCATCTTTTCCAACCTATGCAGTAAAAGTAGTTGCTGTTATGGGGGAAATAGGAGGAAGAAGGCGTGCCAGTGTGTTCTCTGCCTTGAGTTATTTATAAAAGTAATAAAGATGGAATACAAGTAAATAAATATAGATTTGGAATTATTCTGTTGTGTATATAAGTTGAGAAGCTGTCAACGGTACCCATTTATTTCTGGTTTCATGGCACCGGTTTGGTTTGGTTTAAAAAAATTAAACAACATGAATGGCGAAGGAGGGTATTAATTTTGTCTTCTTTTTGCATGATGGGACACTTTTTTTTATCCCAAGATCCAGAGGTATTTGGCAACAGGGCTGAACTCTCCTGTTAGTTGGTTGGGTCTTCTTGGTAGACCCAGAAGCTAAGCTAAGCAAGGTTGCAGTGGTGGTATTCAAATTTTTTTATTACCAGTTCTGTGGGCGTGGCTTGGTGGGTGTGGCAAGGATACTGTAAATTCCCCATTTCCACCCCACTCCAGGGGAAGGATACTGTAAAATCTCCATTCCCTCCCCACCCCACTAACCCGCTTTCCAGCTCTGTTCTCCTATGCAGGGCAACAAAAGAAGACCCAGCCGATCAGCTGGGACTCGGGAGGCAGAGAATGGATGGGGGTGGGGTCAACCAAAGGTGGTATTTACCAGTCCTCCGAACTACTCAAAATTTCTGCTACTGGTTCTCCAGAACCTGTCAGAACTGGTTGAATACCACCTCTGCAAAGTTGGGCTTAGTACATCAATGAGAAACTACATCTCAGGGTTGTAAAATAAATTGGAGGATTTAACATAAGCAATCTGAAATAAAATAATTTCTGTATTTTTCCAAGAAAACAGTATGAGGCATGCTTTTGAAATCAGTAGGAGCTTACCATGGTTTGAATAAGGCCGACTTTTTATCAGTCAAGAAAAGGAAAGGTCAAAGAGAAGATGACAGCAAGCCACCATCCAGCTGGTTTTGTGGGAGGTTGGGGAATAAAAATGGACTGGCATGGAATTTTACAAACAGATTGCACTGTGTTGAAAAGCTTTCCTGACTTTCTCCATTAATAGATTTGTGTGGATAAAAATATATAGTAGAAAACGTGAGTCTTACAGATAGAAGCCAGTGTTAACCAAATCCTTTTAGTTTTATGACCAAGGCAACTTCACAGGAAAGTCTTTCCTTCATTTAATAATTCTTCTTTCAGCTTCAGTTTTCATTCTCTCCTTTTTAAAAATTGGGCTAAAATGTGATAAGATAAAGTTCCATTCTTTCTCAAATATTCCAGTTCTTATTCTTAAAAATGTGAAGAGGAGATGACATACACGATCCAGAATGTAACATCCAGTGGTGGGATTCAATTTTTTTTTACTCTGTGGACGTGGCTTGGTGGGCATGGTGTGGCTTGGTGGGCGTGGCAGGGGAAGGTTACTGCAAAATCCCCATTCCTTCCCCACCCCACTAATCTGCTTTCCAGCTCCGTTCTCCTGTGCAGGGCAACAAAAGAAGACCCAGCTGATCAGCTAGGACTCGGGAGGCAGAGAATAGATAGGGATGGGCCCAGTCAGAGGTGGTATTTGCCAGTTCTCCGAACTACTCAAAATTTCTGCTATCGGTTCCCCAGAACTGGTCAGAACCTGCTGAATACCACCTCTGGTAACATCTATAGGGAGACTTTTAATGTTCTTTTCAGCAATCACCTTCCAAGTTTGCTTACAGAATTTAATTTGAAATGACCTTTTGGGAGGAAGGTGAGGAATATTCTTTGGGGCAAAAAGGTTAAATTGGCCACTAATATATTCAGTTGTTGTTCAGGGAATGAGAGTATTAAATTTGATTGCTTATTTACCCTTGGGGTATCCAAAAGGGGGTGGTTAAAAAAAGAACACAACTACTCCATTGAAACCCCTCTTTTTTCTTTTACATATGTTAAAGTAATGGAATGTAGTGATGACATGAATCCTCAGGAGCGAGGGGGTGCATTCCAGAAGAGTAAGAGGCAACTTAGTGCAGATATTATATGTGAGGAAAAAAGGTAAAGACACCCTTTCTTTTTTAACAGATTAACAGTTTAATGGAGTTGGAAAGGACCTTATAGGTCATCTAGTCCCCCTGCCCATACAGGAGACCCTACACAATTTCTGACAAATGGCAGTCCAATCTCTTCTTGAAAGCCTCCAGTGATGAAGCTCCTACAATTTGCAAAGGCAAGCTGTTCCATTGGTTGATTGTTCTCACTGTCAGAAATTTCTCCTTATTTCTAGGTTGAATCTCTTGTTGATCAGTTTCCCTCCATTATTCCTTGTCTGGCCTTCAGGTGTCTTGGAAAATAGCTTGACCCCTTCCTCTCTGTGGCAGCCCCTCAACTATTGGAACATTTCCTTAATACTTCACAGAGTTTATTGTAGATATAGATAGCAGAGTCCTCATTCTGGCAAAATTTTGTCTATAGGTATGAAACAATAAAGAACTTGGAAAAATTGCTATGTGTCATTCTCGGTTTTGAGCCTAATAGTTATGTTTCAATAAAGGTATTCAGTCTGGTGTTATAGTTCCCATAAATTCAAACCACTGTATTCTGTGGGCAAGGACTGTGAGAATTATAGTCCCATATCAACAGATACAGAATTCCTGGTACAGAGTAACAAGTATAATTTTTGTATCTGATTTTCAATTATGTTTTTATACTATTTCAGATTTTATCAAACATTCCTGTCTTAAAAAAGAAATACTGTGATATCATGCTTTTATTTATTTATTTATTGTCCTTGACCGATGGACAAAATGTATTTAATGCTGTGAACTTACAAGATTTATTGATCAGAAGACTGAAACTGATTTGGTTTTGGTTTTAATTTTCACAGTGATTTCATTAACATACATTTTGTGTTACTGTACCTGCTTTTAAAAAAAACTGTTCTATGTCTGTTTTTTACAGAATTTCTTTTGGCATGTTTGTCAGTATCAATGATATTCCATAGTAATTGGACCAAAAGTGACAGTATACGCTCTCTGTAAGATGAGAGACCAAATTATTCTAATGCTGCCAAAAATCAGTGACATTTTCAACCCACCTGATATCTCTAAAATAGTCAGATTTATAAGATGAATATCTTAAGGTAGTGGTGTTTTGATTTCCTAGTTTGAGGGTTAAAAACTCTCATTGCTTTTCTTTATAAATATGAGTAATTGAATATTAACTTTATTTAAAAGGAGAAGATAGTAGCTTGGAATGCTTAAACTTCTAGTGTGTTGTTTCTACATATTTTTAAAAAGCTAATCTTCATTATAAACATAAACTATGATTTTGTTAATTGTAATTTACCATTTACCACGATATAATTGTGAGCTACTACAGTGTGTAACTGGTACAGTGCCACAAGAGAATTCACTCATTATTTTAAACTATGGCTTGTATACCCTAACTATGGTGTAGATGCCATCACTGGCCTAATTCAAACAATAAAATCATATCTCTCTGGTTCACTATGGAATGGAAAAGAGTTCTTTCCTTTTTACTAGCTTCTATATGGGCAATCATTTGGGGGTTTTTTATGGAAAGATATTCACAAAAATGTATGAATCTGCATAATGTGTAGTACGTCATAATTATGGATCCCTGCATTTGTATATTTTAAAAAGGCCAGGCCCTGCTGTCGAATGCTTCTTTAAAGTATCAGCCAGATGTTTTCATACTTGAGAATAACAAATATAAAAAATTCAGCAACACCAGCATTTTTGTTCGGTGCTCTTAAAACACCATCTTTAAATGGCTTCCCAGCAGATGGGCCTCTGAAAGCTTCTGTTTAATGAAGACTCTGGAGGAGATATATGTTCTCTGCTAATCTGCTGTTAGGATTGATTTAAGTCTGGCTGGAAGATGGATTGTGTCTATTACTGATCTGGCCATACTTATGTAAACAGGTGGAAAGTTCTCCTCTGTTGGCAAATTGGCTAGAAGTTATGTCTGTGCGTAGAGAAATGCATATGGTCACTGAGACATTATATAAAAATCCATAATTAAGGAAGGCAATTATAGTTGCCTCTCAAGGGTTAAAAACTTTTGGTGATTGGATATTTGCTTTGTAGGAAGTTAAAGACTTAA